TGAGTTGCGGGAAGGATCACTTTCCGTGGCAGGGCCGAGGCTGTTTAACGTCCTACCAAAGGATCTAAGAGAGGAGGAGTTCACCCTGGAGACCTTCAAAAGACGACTGGACGTGTTCCTGGGCACAATCCCCGATCGTCCTCCCCTGCAACACTACCAGCGGCGAAAAACAAGCAACAGCATCGTGCATCAGCTAGGGCGGATGCGCGATAGTCAGATGGGGCGATCCATCGTTGCCTGGGACTGTTGCGTCTCAAACAAATACTGAGGATACTAAGGATTATGTGGTTTAACATCCTGCACGCTCACTTCCTCCGAAATTTCGATCGCTGAATCACTCAGATCGTCTTCATCGCTAGTAAGAGCCACAGTTGGAGTGATATTGTTGGCGACATTTTCACCCGAAGACGATGCGTTTAGAACCTTCAGGAGATTTTCCTGTATTCAGCGGAGCAAACATGTAACAACATTGATACAATATTGAACCACGACATGGTAATCGGTATTACGTCATCGCTATCATTGGTATTTACCATCGACATGATTATGAAAGGTAACAAAAAGAAATAAATTAATTTCAAACTGCCATTTTATATATTACTCACTTATGTTGTTCTCTTGATATTTTCATCATAAGCAATAAAATATTCTAAATCTTACCTCCATCTTTTTAACTGTAATCCTTTATTGATTCATGATGCTGAAAGACACAGCCTTGGGCTTTTCGTTTGCTTACGAGAGAACCGCATATTGTCACAAGGGTTCTCGCTAACAAACTAAAATTAACAATGGAAGGTTGTAATTTAAACGTGCTAGCCCTTTAACATCAAGCCGTAGGAGGGAACTACAAGAGAGGGTTAGCAGGGCAGCTCGTCTACCTCCATGAGAGGTGGAGTGGAGAATGTCTTCCCCTCTACCTCCTGTGCAGTAGACTAGTGCTGCCACTTCAAGTTTATGAGCGCCAAAGACATATCGAATGAACGGTACGACACGTTCAACATTCTCATCGCCAGCGTCCAAAGAAAATGTGAAATCTCTTATTTAGCAGTAATGAAAAAATTTTTTGGCAGTAAATGTTAACAAATGGATGTTGATTCAGACGTGTATTTTGTACCGATCAAATCGAGAATAAATAGTAGTATACGTTGACGTTTTAAAAATTTCGGCAAGTCGCCGAATTAACTTCGATTTATAACATTATCTTCTATCATTACTGGTGTCATACAAAGTTTACATATTTTTTGTTCCTTTACACGGATTTTAAATGAATAGTTCGATAAGCATGGAAAAATGCAGATCGTTATCTCATTTACGAGTGGAGTAAAGTTAAACCTAATTAGTGAAGAACTCCATAGGAAGCCAGTCCGGGGCTTCGCGGTTCTCTATACTAGCCTTAATATAGCCGAAAAGAGCAGCTGGTCAAACTTCCTCACGATGTCTCTCGTCAGATGCAGGTATTTGAGCGAACCATGACCATCTCCATGCAGCTTACAGAATGGCGTCGATGTATGTGCACGCGCACGTTTGTTAAGTCATATGATACGACATTTTACAAAATTTTGAGCTTACGGGCTTACGTGGTAGCTAGATAATTTATTGTGTATATTACACAAATGGTTTTTCGGTAAAAAGATGACTTTAAATTTTATTTTATCATACTTGAAAACCGGAGGCTGCTTGAAGGACTGTGAAAAAAATCAATGCCTGTAACTCCACGAGATAATTTTTAAATACTTATCATAATCCAAATAATATTTAAACTGATAATTGGCAGATTCGACAACTGATGAACGGTTTTGTATTCAGGGCCCACAAGTTTTTTTATTAAATATTCAGTTATGTGATATTTGGATGACACTCCTTGACACAGTAATGGCAGTGCCTTTCAAGATGACAAGCATTATAATTATAATGTACCTTCGGTTATACACACCAGGTCTTGAAAATTTTGATATTCTATGTCAACGTGATACTGTAGTGCGGTTCACAATTTTCTTTCCTTCGTCAGTGAATTAAGATCGTTTTATTCAATGCCGTTTGTGCGTGCTGCTCATGACTTATGCACAGAGCTGGGCAGCGCTACTTTGAAATGTAGCGGCTGCTACCGCTACATGCTCTAAATGTAGCGGTCGCTACCGCTACAGTTGCTTAAATGTAGCGCCACTACCGCTACCTCTACATGTAGCGGCCGCTACACTGTTAGAAAAAACGTTGAAAAAACGGTCCCACTGGCGTTCTAGTGGCCGGTCGCCAAGTGAAAATAAACTGTTACGCCGTTTTTATCAGATGTTTTAAGGATTTCTAGTGCTAAATTAATGTAAAAACGGCGAGACGGCGTATCTTTTCACGTGCCGACCGGCCACTGAAACGCCGGTGATACCGTTAACGGTAATTTTTCGAACTGTGTACTGCCCACATCTGGCTAACAACTAACATGTTGACACTAGTAACAGGCTGAGGTCGACAACATTCCACCGAAATCTTTCGTACAGTTTTATTCTGTAATTTATATTACGTACGTATCATGCTAGTTTTTAAAGAATCTTTAATACTATTAAGTAAAATCTAAAGGCTTTATCTATAAATGGAGCGGTAACACTGTAGCGGCAAAACCTCGTATCGCTACTTAAATATGTAGCGGGCGCTACCGCTACCGATACATTGCTTTATATGTAGCGCTGCTACCGCTGCCGCTACATGTAGCGCGCTACTGCCCACCTCTGCTTATGTACAACGTAAGTATCATGGCACCTAGCTACTTTTTGAACAAATTAATACAAACTATATTAGGTGGTTCAAACGACATCGATGAAAAACCTTAGTCCATGCTTTACGGATTTTATTTCATATAGTTACTTTATTCTGTTCGCTGCAAAAGTTCGTTGCTAGACATGTAAAATGTTTAACCCCCACCAATTTTATTCCCCCATTAGCTTGGTGTAACCCCGGCCCCCCCCCCCCCCATTAGCTTGGTGGATGTGAGCAAACGCGGAAACTTTTGGCAGCAGCTGTCTAGTTTTGCTATTCTTGTTCACATGTGGAGTGACACATGGTTCTAATTTCAGTTGTGTAATTGTGCGGTAGAACGTGAAGTATACGGCTTGAGAAAAATTTGTTTTAAAGGATAAAAATGTTCATTTTCAACATTATTTTGAAGCACAACTTTCTGATTTTCACTATGCGGGGCTTCTTAAAGTGATGTTCGTTGGAAACCGGCTCTGGTAGGGCGGCATTGCAGGGACATGTGCGGCATTCCAGGGCATTCAAGGGCAGCAAATACTTCTGCAGTTATAGAAAGGTTCACCTTGCGGTATAAGTTGGCATGAGTTCCTCGTGTTCATATGCCCTAGGTTTTAATCAACCATAATAGCTGACTCGATTTGTGGAACGGAAAGTTAAGCATTACCAACAGTCGTTTGCGTTATTTCGGTGATTAGCACCCGGAAGGCTTCACCACCGAGCCGCTGCAAGCAAAATGTGTGTGAACATGGATGCAAAGCGCTGTCGTCAGTAACTAGGCTGCTCTTTTTCTGTGATTATATGCTTTTTTTCATTAGGTTTTTTGCCGGAGTAAAATCGATTGTCGTTATGAATTGGATTATTTCCGAAGATAAATTTCTGAAATTACCATAGAACAAGGCAGTGTTAGAAAGGCAACAAATTCCAACTGCAATTTCGACGGTATTAATAATTCTATTCTTTTTTACAGCCACTGTAGGCCGAATTTTATAGACCCGTGTAAAACAGTTAATTACTAGTGACGTATCGTGAAATAACAAGTCGTTAGCAAATTACACTGTATGTTACGCGTGCATGCAAGAGGAAGTAGGAATGCACGCGAGTCTCGCCTTGAATTGCATTACTGCAAACAATTCATTATATTTTAGGTATTTCATACCTACAAACACAGGTATGAAATTATTAGTTACTATACTGAATCTGCGCTATGTTGAAATGGTTAAAGTTGAGCCCTGTAGATGCACTATAGGCTGCCGTTAGCAAATATTTTGGGAGAACTTTGAGGACTGATTTAAGTGATTATTGTGGGAGAATGCTTAACGATATATGTGAATGTTTTGTGATGGCGAATATGAGAGAAATTTTAATACTGGTTAAGGTGAGAGAATGTTTCGCACCGCCGTACGGGCAAAATGTTTGGTGCCCGCAGTAAGTAAAAATGTTTGGTACGGGTGAATGGGATAGAATGTTTTGGACATGGATAATGAGGGAGGATATTGAGCGGTGTTTAATATTGGAGAATTTTGATTGTGGAGTGCTAGTGAAAGTTGGAGAGTTAGAGGTTGTGGTTAATCCGGAAAGTTTGGATTGAAAGTTGTAATAACTGATATTATTCCCAGTTCAATTCTTGTTTTTAGGCCGTTTACTTCATTGTGCCGCGATACAATTTTTTCTGTTTTCCCGTCTAGTCTGCATATTTATATAGCGTACAGCATTTCAAATGCCATTGGGCATTCATTAACGCACTTTTCACATTCGGCTGTGTCGATGCCGAAGCTATCAGTTGCCAAATACGCGCGCCCCACAAACGTCCCTATGGCTCACTCGGTCAATGACTGGATTCTAATCTGACGCTTATTTCGCTCGTACAACCATAGCAGAGCGTAAAGTGGACATAGCGACGCTAATTTACGCCCTGGGCGAGCTAAAGGCATCTTCAACTCAGTAGCTAATCACCTTCAAAATTTCGATAGGGATATGTGACCACAACAAAGTTTGAACAGAACAAAATACGAACTAATAACTAATGAGAGTATGCGTGTGCTCGTATTGCTTTCCTCAAATCAAATGAAAACGCAGAAATCAGAAGGTAATTTAAAGGATCAGGATTTTATCTCAGGATCAGGATTGAGGAAAATAATAGACGCTTTTTCTGGTCTCAGTATAGAACCCTGTATAAATAACAGATTGTTACAAGTTACATAAATGCAAATACATAGAAAACGATTATAAACAGTATAAATCAAATTATCTATTAACAAAGTAATTAGTACAGGATGACTGTTGCAACACATTAGTACCTACTCTAATAAGAGTTTCTAGTGCAATGTATCAAAAATTCTAAAAGCTGGAGTGAAGTTGGCTATTGTCGTATTCAGCTGTGGTTCCGTTCAGATATAAACCAATCTTAATATTACAATTAAATCTAATTCTAAATTTCGAAATTTTCTATTTATTAATATCTTAAATATTAAACTGGACCGCTACAAATTCATTAAGTAGAATATTTGGTGCATTATGCATTTTATTTGATTATTGCTTTATGTATTTGTAGTACAATAGTACCCGAATTCACGGCAATCATTTTGTAATAAACGTACAAACGGCATGTATTGATAAAATCGCTGCTACGATAGTACCAAACGCAGCAGATGTAGGTAAAGGGTATAATGTAGGTATGTTGTTCCGATGTAGGTATAATTAAATTTTCCCCATGTATATCGTCCCATCTTTAATCCATACATGCAATTTTGGAAATTGCATGTATCAGAGGACGTCCGCTATTATCTAGGTTATTGACCGAGTGAGTTTTTTTTAATTTCTGAGAGCGTTGCAAACGATACGATAGAGTTCAAATAACTTTTTAGGGCAAAGTTCCTTAGAGCAAAACCACGAGAGTTCATTTATAAAATAAGAAAGTCTCTGCGAAGCTAGGCGGCCACATAAGTGTACCTAAAATAATTAAATCGAGGCCCGAGCTGTGAGGACCGAGGCTCTTTTTAGTAGAAACTTTACATCCCAACGTCCATATTCGGTCCACATTACAAACGAAAAATTAAGCTCATTCCGTTCCGGCATTGAGCTCATTCACCACGACAGTGTGCTCGTTATTTTGGGAAACATAAACATCACAACTGATGAAAGTGTACACCAAACGCAAATATTCTCACAATAAATCGTCTCTTTGGTGAAGTTTTCGTGGATTTCAGTGCTTCAATCTTGCAGGTTCTGTTCGTTGACGCAGCCGGAGACCGGGAGTCGCTAAAATATTTCAAGTGAAGCTTCATACGATGCTTAAAATTGGTGTTATGTTTCACTCTCACAATATGTCGAAAAATCTATGAACATCTCTTAATCTGTGTTTTATCTCATTATTGAAATGCGGTAATCAGCAAGAGAATCAAAACTTTGCCAGCGATAGCACTAACCACGAGAATAGCACTGAGCACTGAGAGATAATGGCAATTCGATTACAAAAGCATGCCAAGGCTAACAAGCGATACTCTCTCGTCAAAAACGTAAATACACGCACGCTGTAAATTTAAATACGTGAACGAATCATTAATTACCAATTTTCTTCCTCGTTGTATAGGGACTCTTCCAGGAAGCTCAAATTATCCTCTGTTACAATACTCGGGTAATTTTGTTAATAAACATTATATATAATTTTTTCAATCATGCAAATATTTCTATGAGATGTACATAGATATTTAATGCATTGCTCAATGTTATGAAGTGAAGAACATCCTAAAATAATTCTCCATGTTCTGATAAAAGGCTTCATCCTTTGTCCTTAATTTTTGCCGAAGGCCACCGTTTTTATCCACCTAAGGTAGTCCGGGTTGGAGAGGGGCACGTACAGGCCTGGGTAGTCTTCAAGTCCACAGCCGTAGCCTTGGGACACCACGCCCCCCAACACAGAGACTCCACCCTTCATGTGGTCTGATGCGAAGTACACCAGGGGTCCTCCAGAGTCACCCTAATGCAACAACAAAAGTTACTTTCTTATCATTGAAGAACTGATGAGACATGCGCATGCTCTTTCTTTAAAAGACTAGAATAAGGGAAAACGGACACGTTTCCATACACGATAACTCGCCACGAAACTGACATAAGGTTAAGAGGCCGGTGGAGCGGCCGCCAGGCGCGTTAATCCCTATGAGGGTTCTTAACAATGAAGGCAACCAATAACTCTCCTCCTAAATAAGATACAAGTCTGAAATTTGGAATGGTGATCTGGCTAATTATTTTCAATTAACGGAAAGTAAGATATATTATGTAAACTATATATTATCACTTTTATCACGAACAAAAATTTTAAACCATATGAAGATCGTAAAATGAGCGAATTTTTCTAGCGCGACAACATTTTCTAACATTTTCGCGACACAAGTTAATTCAACTATTTATTCTTCATTGACCTCTACACAAAGCATTTCTGAATCATTCTTTTAGCATTAGATATTAGTCGACATTATTAGTGGTAAGTGAAAGTTCCGTAGATTTAAGCAAGGCCTGACCCGGCCATTGTCGTACTGGGTGTAGGCGCAGCCTACGCTGTGGCAATAAATCTTCTGTCGTTCAAGGTAAACATTCCTTCTTCCCTCCCTCTTCACTTCGCAGTTCTTTTCCATCAGCTTTCAAAGCCCTTGTCTCAAGCTGCGGAGTCTTTTAAAGGGTCTAAACTAACAATGCATGTTTCCATGCAGCGTCAATAATATGAAAATATTGTTAAGAGATCGTAAATGAGCATCATGCGTTAGGATGATTACGAAGAGTTTATCGAAATAATGTTTTAAAATGTGAAGAGAATGAATGCATAAACAGCACAATTTAATATAAAATTTCCCATTTGCTACCACACGAACGATTATTTTAATGAAAATTATTGAATTAAATGAGCTATAATATAGCATATTGAATTCCAAACCTTAATATTCCGAAATAAAAAAGGCTTTAGTCAGAGCGGTTTTCTTTCCACTTCGATTTTTGTTGTAATGGAGTCTTCCTTCCAAATAAAAGTTAGGTTGCGCTAAAATTTTTGTACAGATTACGAAGAGATAATCGTAATTATGTTATAAAGTGTGAAGAGAAAGAATGCATAAACAGCGCAATGTTATATTTAATTGTCATTTACTCCAACTTTAACGATCATGTTATTTCAAATAATTGAATTCATGTAAATTTTGTATTCCTGACAGTCGTTTCACCATAGCTTGGTTGTCGCACAGTACTTTAAAAAGGACACGGGATGCCAATTAGTCACTTGGCGTTTCAAGATGGACCTCCCTCTTCCCGCACAATTTGGCGGCAAAGAATTCGGGGGGGAGGGGCGGGGAAAGCGATTTATTGATGAACGAATTAATTCTTAAGGTAATTATGCTGGATATTATACCTATCTGTGTGACATAATATTTACGGCATGCAGGTCTTTTATTGGCATGTGTGTACAGGGAATATATACGCATATACTCTGACATTATGGGGATGAGGGTGGAGGGTTTGTGTGTGCGTGAGAACACATCGTACAAGCTCAGTGTGTGTACTTCATGTCCCCACTCCCCTAACGTCAACCACTGCTGCACACGACTCCCCAATTTCTCCCCACGTCTGCGGCATTAGGGGTGAGGGTTTCAAGGTAGAGAAGATAGCAAGTCGTGAACAATATTCAGCCTTGCATAAATCATTCATAACAAACTTTGCATTAATCAACTTTATAAATAAATCATTAACTTAGCATAGATCATTCATAACAAAGAATGACTGGTTGTAAAAATATATGGAGCGATCTAAATGGTGATGTTGTTTATGAATTCATTGGAACATATTAAAAAAATGAAAATTCCAATTTCAATTAGTTAGCACTGCTATGTTACATTCTCCATTACTGAATAGAGAATGAAAACTACAACGAAAGCATGAATGAAAACATATCACGAAGAAAAGAATGTTAAAAAATTTTGCACAGTTCGTTAAAGAATTTTTTAGCCTTCCCAGCGAGGGAATGCGTGAGTGCGTGTGTACATTTAAATGCGTTAGAGGGGGTACTTGTAAAAATCTCCCCCCAACCGCTGCCTCCTCCCTAAGTCCCCTCGCTTCCCCATCGTTGAGTTCCTCTCAAGTCTAAAGCAACCCTCCTCGCCGCATGGCGCGATTGTGACGAGATGCAAAGATTGGAAGCTGGCTTTCTACTGAATAGGCGTGAACTGCGTACTCATTTTTACAGGAATTTGAAAGCCGACAATATTCACAACAAATTGCTTTGGGTGTCATAAAATTAAATAATGAAAGCATTCAAAGCTTTAATTTAAATAATAATTGCCATGACACATTTTTGCACATTACTGTTGATGCTTCGTGACTTATGTGCATTTTTATTGACATGTAATTATAGTATTTATGCTCGAGCGATCTTTACACATGCTTTTATGAAACAGCCTAAATTAACTTGGTTGTACTATCACGACAAAGCATTGCCGTAAATTATGAACGCGTATTTTCAATAAAGGGTATTAGTAAGAAAACAACCAATTTGATAATAGAGTAAAATTTCGTAGAATAATTAGTAGTATGTCGCTCGCTGATTAAAAATGTCGAGAAAGGGAAGCGAAGGAGGGCAAGTGTGCAGCCAGACGTAGGATGTGTCAGACGTTAGACGGCAGAGCCTGGCCGAGAAATTTTAACCGCGTGAGGCCGTTTGGGCTCGATGCAGCGTTCACCGACCGCTCCACGGGACTCTTAATGCACATTCAAAGAAGAAATCTCGGTATATATTTTCTCTCAAGTCCGCAGAGAGCCAATAGTTTTTGACAGTCACGATTCATGACCGAGGTGAACGGTGCTTGCGTTAGTTACACGGTGCGTATGACCAGTGACTTGATTAATATTAGCGATTACTACAATTACATAGGGAGGGTGAAGTCCTAGTAGCCTGAGCAATTATTCAGACAATAGTATTATTCTTTATAGTTTTATTATTGCGATAATATGACAATACTATTATTCCTTTTTAGCATTTTTTACATTGTAATTAGTAGAAGTTTTAATGATAATAATGCAAAGATTAAGCAATGCGTAAGTGTACCTTGCAAGTGTCCACGCCGCCGAGGGGTCGGCCAGCACAAAGGAAAGTGTCCTCCGCGATGCCGCGCGGCCAATTGGTGGAGTAGAAAGGAAGCTTCGAGAAAGACGCGTTGCAGACCTCTGATGGGAACACCGTCACCGATCCCTCCTGTAGGATGGGACTGCCATTGCCTCCTGCGATGAGGAGTTTTGATTAATAGTCAATGCCTCTTGCTGCTGAGAAATAGTTAACTACTAATTTATTTTGCGTTAGGTAACTGCAACGATCATCGCGTTGGTTTGTTTAACTCTCGTGCGCTTCGAAGAATGTGTGCGAGCTGTAAAAGGCCTTTCGGCGACTAACTTCACTGTGACTCCAGTGAAACTGTAATTTTTGAACTAATCTAAATTTGAGTTAATGAGACGTCAACACTTTTATATATAGCCAAATATACAAGTATATATATATATATATTTTATATATGTATGGACTTTTTATATATAGACGTCAACAATATAGAAAATGATTTGAACAATATGAGCTGATCCAAAACAGAGTCATACATTTGCGAAAAACTTGACACAAAACACGCATCTTAATTGTTTACTTCTATGTAATGACATGTAGCAATGACGGCTCTACATACTTTGTTTCTTTTACACTGTTAATTAAATTCGGACCGCTATAGCCGCTCGCGCTAATTGGACTAACATAAAAAACTAAGGCGAGCGTGATACATACTCAACGTATTTATCGTAGAAGCCGCAACAGTTCAGACGATCCATCGGAATTCACGATGAATCGAAAAGGAATATGTTCGCCAGACAGTCCGAAGCTAATCTATGAATTGCTTGTGAATGTACCGATGTATCGTCAATAATTGCTGCAGTGCCTTTCCGTTTGAACAGAGAAGGAGAGATGAAATTCATCCTTGAAACATTCACGAGACGACTGGATACGTTTTGAGCAAGATCCCGGATCATCTGTCTATGCCCATTTACTTTAACAAGCAACATCCTTTTGCATCATCAGGTTCCAATGAGGGCAGATGCACGGTAGTAACGATCAACGTTATTCAATTAAGGTTCTATGGCGGTGAGGCGACCTGCCTATTGACTGCTTTGGGACGATGGACGACGAAGGCGGGACATCGGCATGTCCAGGGACGAGGACGTCCTCAACTTGTCATAAGAAAAACAGAATTTAATACGTAATCTCTGTTAGTACGTCGGTATTGTGCTTTTTTGCATCATGCAAAATTACAGTCAACCAAGTTTTTCCGCGGCGGATGAAGAATCCCTCGTCCTGCTTCATTTTGCAACCATCAATAGAAGAGTATAAAATAGAAGTGTAGATACTAAAGAAATAGGCCCATGGCCTGTTGCCGATTCTATAATAAAAAGAGCTGCAAAGCCGGCCCCAGAAGCGAGATTCGTAAAGTTTGGCAATCTGTCGCATTACACCAGATTCTCCAGAACGAATGGTCATGAAACACATTAAGCTGGAAATTTATGGCAAAAATTTATCTATCCAAACGGATAGATAAATTACTGTTGATGTACCATAAGCTTTGGCGCCCCAACCGGTGATGGTGACGTTTTTGTGATGGAGGATGCGTCTGGCTTCATCCCCCCACGGCAGACAAATTGGCGTCACGCCCACCTGACGGAAGGAACGTGTGTGTGGATGAGCTCTGAGCGCTTTTCATGTACTTCAAACATAAATTAACGCACTGTGCCATTAAACATTTTTATTTTATCGTAAATCGAGCGCTTGCTCAGTGTCAGGTTTCGGAATAACGCAATCATGTGAGAAAATTTCTAACAATCTATCGAAATATAACATATCACACAGAAGAAAATTGTAGCCTCGGCGCACCCTGATTCTTATGCGGTCCACCACTTTGATGAGCGCGAGGTCGTGGTAGGAGGAGAAGGTACCATCTGCCTGGTAGTCGGGGTGAACCACCACGTCAGCGACCCTGTGGTCCTCGTGGGCGATGCTTTCATGGGTGTTGCTGTAGTCGTGCTCGGCAAGACGAACCACATCAGGTCGCCTGCATTTTATGACCCATTTACTATTTTAAATGATTTCAGTATGTATTCGACATACCTGGTGGTCTTATGACATATTCATCATAATTGTGTGTATTATGCTGCGTTCACGACAAACCTGACAAGCCACAACAGACTCTGAACCTCAGAGGCAAATAACGTGAAATAATTTATGTAATGAAAGTAGTAGTAGTGAGGATATTGAGTTGGATATCGATATGATGTAGTAATTAATCAATGGCCAATAATCAATACCATTTCGGGCCAATAATCAATACCATTACGGGCCAATAATCAATACCATTACGGGCCAATAATCAATACCATTTCGGGCCAATAATCATCCACAGCAGCGCGTGCTTATTGCGTATTAATTGTGCTTGTTATTCATCTTGGTAACTGCGAAATAATTGCGTTTGTTATTTATCCCTCGCAGCGCCTGTACAATTTCATGTCAGGTATAGACTGAGAATTTCAAAACTATGCGGAAGATTGAATGAATTTCAATTTTCGACTGAGCAATTAATTATTGCAGAAAACAAACGATAAGTATGTCAGAAATAATGGCAGATACAGTGAGTTGTGCTAAAAATGACATATTGTAATTACATATGAAGCTTTGCATAAATTTAAAAATTTATACAATTTTTATTATTGAATAAAAATGTTTCTTTTTTATAGAAATGAGACACACTATGTTTATATTTTATCAGCATGCTCCATTTTTGATAGCATAACAGAGCATTTCTTTCTATTCAACCTAAAATTCCATCAATAACATTTTGTCCAGGAGCAAAGTTTCTTAATATTTTTTCCTACATGCTATTTGCAATACGTCCGTACAGTCGACTGATGATATCCTCAGTCACATTTACCAGAGAATTTCATTGCTCGCTCCACATTCTACCGGGCTTTTTACCTCAACCGCCAACCAGGCATAAATGGGATCGTGATGCCGACCATGCAAAAGATCTCGGGACTTAAGGGAAAGATTATTCTCACCGCCAATTAATTCTAATCTGAAACTTAACATTTTATTTCCCAATGTTCTGAAACTTAGAATTTTCTTTTTGACATGGGAGATAAGGCTGACATATATACATATGTATCCTGCATACTCATGACTCACAAACAGTACTCATGAACACATTAAAGTGTTCATTACCTCACTTACCATCCACGGGTGTCTGTGCACTGGAGCATCGATGCCCCCAACCACTGAAGGTTGGTCTAGGGGCTGAAGGGAAAGGGGGTTGAGGGGAAGAGGGGTTGAGTGCCGTTGGAGTACTTCTAGGTTTTTTACTAGTTTGTTGTCACCATCGTCGGAAAATTCTCTTGGAGACCGCCTCACTCTCTGAAAAGGATTGGCAATATTTTTTGAACAAAACTGAAATAACTAGAACAATATGGCGGAATATACATTTCTGATTTAGGCTTATCAGTAAGGTGGACGGAGTCTGTACTTCAGGCTACGGTCTATTCTACATAAAAGCTCAGAACAGACAAAATAAAATGACTGATGCCGTTGCTGCATGAATCAGGAGCATAGAAATGGGTCAGAAAAAATCACTCAATACACATGATACGATTCATCATCCATGAGCGTAAGCTTGAATTCGGAATTTCTGGATCGATCGCAAAAAAACTCCCTCTGTGTAAAATTTTGAACATTTCTCTGTTAGCCTCGTGTCGCAACGAGCCGCCCCTATAAATAAAATCTCGCCAGAGACAAGCTCACTAAACACCCCTATCACTTATAAGGAAGATTCCTCATAACTGTGCTCAATGCGTTTAATATTTGGAGTGAATGAAAAAATAGTTATTGTTCTGTAGAAAAACAGCGGACGAGCAGTTAACCCCAGGAGCGAAACTATATATGGCCGAGCAAGCGACCGGACTTCTCGAGGAAATTTTTTATTATAAGTTTCAATCCCAAAGTGACATAAAGCTGTAACTTGGAGCTAAGGCAGCCTGAATTTATTCTTCCTAGGGTTTGAGGTACACCAAATAGTCGAGGTTTAAATTACGCAATTATTTTTTAGTTCACTTCATTATAACCGGCAGTTTTTTGCACTTGAATGACGTAATCTTTCAAACAACGAGCGAAAAATTCATGTACTGATTTTTTTCTCACAAATTCTTTCCAAAACACCCGTTAGATTAACATTTACCCGCGCTCTGTCAAAATTGCTTTTGATTATACCAGTGAGAAATGTCAGTAAAGATCGTTGTATTAAAATAAATGCGATAAGAAAAAATGTGACTCCAAGGGAATTTATAACCAGTTATTTTATCTCGATTAGTTCTCCATGCACCGAAATTGGTCAACATGCAGACATATGTTATACGTACTGTTCCGAGCGAGTTGTCTTGTGGCGCCTTCCCTCCGGCTATTAAAAAGCTTTCGCGTCGCCGAAAAGGTCTAAGAACGCCGCAAACTGCGACGTGTACAAAAGGAAGAGAAATAACAAATATCTTATTACTAAGGGAAATCACATTTGCGTTTTAACGATATGGAGTGGATCGCACTGGATAACTAATCTGCACATTAGTTATCACAATAATCACAATAACAAGAAAGACTAGTGCTCAAACTGTCATACATCAAATATACCAAAATTATGCAAATTTGCATTTCAAAGCTGTTTCCTGAATAAGAATTTTAAATATCTCAACATCTCACAATTTTATTAATCGTAGTTTCAAGCTAAACGCAGAATATTCTTGAAATAATAGCACAATAGCTCCTTTCTCACTGGAATACATATAAGAAATATGAATCGCTGCAAAAATTTGTAAAACTTTCATTTTAAAAATATTACTTAACTTCTCATGAAAACATAAAAGATTGAAAGATTAACCTATCGTGCACAATAACGTTCAAATGAGATTATTAACACTCACCAGGCTCGTTAGGCGGAGCGGGTACGGTTTTGCGCTGGAGATCCCATCTCGTTCCATCTATGAGCCTCTCTGTAAAAATTTTTGTTTATGACCTTTACATTTAAATTAAATTGATTTTTATTTGATTTAAAGTGTAATAAAGTTAACCAAGATCAAATACCTCCGATGATTTTTTTGAACTGCTTGTCAACTAGTAAGTCAAAAACAAGGTCCGCCATATTTATGGCAACGCATGTTTTTTGTTATTTCTCAATGAAACAAACAGGTGCATTGTTAGCGCATTCTCTCATTTATGAAAAAAATGCACTATAGTGCTCGCCATGTCTGTCTGTCTGTCTGTCTGTCCGTCCGTGACTTCATGTTTTCGTCGACGAGAAAATGCGCTCTCTGTCACTCACTACAGTGAGTGCTAAGTTATTTTGTTTTTTATTGGATGAGCTAGTAGCCAAGAATTACCTAAACCATTCTCAGACATATTTATTCAATATGAACACCCTTATTTTTAATGCCGGCCTCCAATCTACGCGGGAAAGCTTCACATGAGACACGCAGCATTTCTCGAGGGATCAAGTCCCATTCTCGAGTCAATTTAGACTTCATTTAGACTATCCAAAGAATCATGAGGTGTTCTGCAGACCCTACTCTCTAAAATATCCTACACAGAAAAGTCGAGAGGATTCAAATCAGGGCTTCTTGAGGGCCATTCATTTTTGCTAATGAACTCTGGGATGTGACCCTGAATCAAGTTTTGGGTCATGTTTGAGCCATGTGATGGGGCAGAGTCTTGTTGAAAACTCCATGGTGAGCCGTTGAAGTGTTTACGGGCCCAAGGTAACAATACAGCTCCCAAAATGTCCGAAATGTATCGCTGATTGTTCAATTTCACTCCTGAGGGGACAAAAACGAGTGGGGACCTCCCAGTGAAGGTTACCGCGGCCCAAACCATCACGGACATGGGATTTTGACGTCGTGTTGCTGTTCTGGTTGCCTCAGATCCATCCCGACTCCAAACTCTGTCATTTTGACGGTTAACGCTTTGTTCAATGTCAAATTTTTTCTCGTCACTGAACACCAAGTTGGGTAGCGTGCCATCCTCAATGAGATCCAGAATGTGCTGGCATCTTTCGAGCCTCATTCGGTCATGACGGTCTGTTAGTTCATGCCTTGTTTGCATCTTGTAAGGGGAGGTTTTGAGGTCATCTTTGAGGACTCTACGCATTGATGTCTGACTGACTCCTGCTTCTGAAGCCAATTTTGCAGCTGAGCGACGAGGGTTTCTCCTCAACTTCTCCCTCGTGTTTTTTACCAATTGTTTTGTTTGGACACTTCGTTTCCTTCCTTGACCAGGTCGATTGCATGTTTCACCAGTTTCCTTGAAAATTTTTACCACCTTCCACACAGTTTCACGACGAATTCGGAGCTTTTTGGCAATGACTGAATTAGTCTCGCCATTTTCATGAAGGTTACAATTGCATTTCTATCTACTGCCATATGTAATAGTAAATTTAGACCCTTAGACTTCTGCAAAATAAAATAGATGAATTAATAGATGATATTAAGCTTCATTATAAAAGAAAAGTCTCCTAGAAACCAATTTATTTTTATTTAGCAAACATCCGTTGCCATAAACATGGCGGACCCTGTAATAATTTTGAACCATTGTACGAGTATGTTACTAAAGATTAATTAAAACTATTTACTAAAAAACTATTGTTCTCTCACTCTAGGCTGCCTAGTTTATAGCCCGACAACATACAAAGATCTTCTTCAGCCTACAAATTCACGAAATTAATAGTTCGGTAATATATAATGGACCAAAGAAGATATAAAAAGACGAAGATGTTCAAGAAGATTAGAAGTTTAAGTCTAATATTAATACCAGTATTTCATAAATTATATTTCATTAACTCTTCAGCAAAAATCTGGAAGAATTGAGTCTTTAATATGAAATATGAACGTCGCTCACCGGGAGGTATAGGGCAGCAAACCAAGGGCAGTTCGCTGCTGACGCCGCACACTTGACTGACGGCCCCCTCGCCTGCCGCTCGCTGGTGGGAGGGGCAGTGAGTGGACAGCTTACACTCCCCCTTCTGCCCCGTCCTTGTTATGGTGCACGACAGGGAGAAGGAGTCCGATGACCCGGGGAATACCAAACCTTGACACATCAGCAACGTTAATAATATTTTTATTGAGACTAATAGCGTGATTATTTTTATGTCATCGCGTTTATGTATCTTCAGTCAACTTCACAAAACATGAAATTAATAACTTATTCATGACTTAAACAAGTTCATCCCTTACTACAACTTTTAATTATATCGTAAACCACAGTCAAATATGTCAATATGTTTACACCTACACGTTAAGCCCCCGTACATGCAACATCCTACATGAGGTTCAAGCAGATGTTGACTTTGCCTTCAACAGGTGCTTACCTTGGCCCACTACTCCCCCAGAGTGCACCAGCGTCGTCACCAACACGCACAACTGCCACATCCTAGCGGGACTCCCTACAGTTTTCCCCTAACACTTCCGATCGGAAATTCTTCTCTTATGAAGTATTAACTGCAATAAAAGCGGGGTATAATGTCAACCAGTAGCAAATAATCGTTGTGCTCATTTTCCTATGACATTCACAACATCATCAACAAGACAAATCTATATATAGTTGTTGGTCAGTTAATCAATGTTGATAAGCGTGACTCATTTGTCACATTTTAGTTCTCGAGAAAAGCAGGACTGAATCTAACGAAGTGTATTACTCGACAGCTCCTGCGCGACTGAGGAGAAGAATCTTGCCGCGACCAGCATCCCATCGTCAAGAACCTGTTGCTGGCGTGTCTTAAAAGCGGAAAATAATGTCAGGTTGCGCAGATTCATCGATTTATTATTTGCGAAAGTCTGCACCACATCTAACATTTTCGTATTAAAAATGATCACATATTCAAATTGATGGAATTCACCGAGCTCGAAAATGCTCTATTCTCATTAGTTACATATATTTTCTTTAGATAATATTATAGTTTTCAGGCACTAGCTAAATGCCGCCAGCAGCTTGGATAATCAGACATATGAAGTCGTATTGGATAATCAGACATGAGGTAAAAATATAGGTCAAATGATTGATACAGCAGTTTGTTGAGTTGCAGCTGATATGCAGCTGTTGTCTACGCTGATTCAATGCAGCTGCTGTCTAGGCTGTTTTACGCGGAGAAACAGGCACCATGAAATGTAGTATAATATAGAGAAACAGGCACCATGAAATGTAGTATAATATAGAGAAACAGGGATTTGCAACGTTCATTTGAAGTTGGGAATCTCGAAATTGGAGTTGCTACGTCAAAGCGTTTCTCTGATTCTCGGAACTTTTTCTCCTCACTTATATGTTGCTTATTTGTTTATTGAGGATGTGGGGTTGTCCCCCATGTCCCTCACGGCTCATCTCCTCACTTACAGTGTTTCATCCTCATGTTGCTCTATAGTGTAGTAGTTACCTCCTGTAACGGGTAACATTTTCCAACAGCGAAATCACGGAACTCGAATTTGCGGATGAAGAAAATATTTTTCGAGTTAGTATGAAATTACTCCAATATTATCATATACATTTGGTTTTATCCTGAATGTAATGAATGACCAACTCATGAATGAGCAAAAATTATCACTCGTTTCCGTAGAAACTTGAATGCTCATTCACTACATCCTAGTTGGATTGCTGTCATCGGAACTTTTTATCGTAGGGGCTTTGAGGCTGCCAAATTTTAAAATAATGCTTGCTTAACACCAATAAATTTACCGAACCACAGCAGTTTCAGTTCCATTAACTTATTCTAAAATCAAGATTTCGGTTAACTAGAGCAATGAGGCGATAAATACCTAACTATTCTCATTCGAAACGTACGTGGGATTCATCACTGTTCGACTGCCGATAAAGAAATATCTTGGCAACATAAAGAAGTTATGTTGTAGCTGCGCACATCATCACATATACAGTATAATACAATCAGGAGGAAATGAACGGCTTGATATCTTTGCGCGGAACTCGGCAGGACAAATTCCAAGAAGACTTAGAATGCACCGCACTGCAGTTCCAGCTAATTCTGCCCCGTAGCCGACGTGTAACAAGCTTCAAATTATTCCAGGTATCGCTCAAAGTTCCTGCCTATATACCCTGCAATATATACTACAAAGCTCGATGCAAGTCCAAGAATTTGAACAGTGAATTTAACTACGCTGTTTCGTGAACAAATTATAAGCGATTCGTGGAATAAATCTTTCATAAACGCACTCCGAAGAGAAACAGGTAAGATAAAGTTACATCAATCAGTAATAGTTGCGGCTGCAGCCTTACAAGTGATGTAAACAACCTTATATACTTGGTGCTGCTCCCCCAAATTATTTGCATGCGATGCCTTGATATGCAGATTTGAATTGATCCGTGGAAATTTATTCCCTGTGTTCCTCAGAGAGGATAAATTAATTCATTTTTGTCCAGCAGATATAATATTTTTTAATTATTTAGCGTATTCATATGTAACGGTGTACCTGAATTTACGTGCTTGCGACAAATTTTGAATAGAATAAAATATGAACTAATAGCTAATGAGTGCATGTATGTGCTCGTATTGCTTTTCTCAAATTAAATGGAAACGCAAAAATCAGAGAATAATTCATCAAATAAAATATTGGGTCCACTATGCATTTTATTTGATAATTGCTTGATGTATTTGTATGATGGCACCAGAATTCACGGCAATAATTGTATAATAAATACACAAAATGCGTGTACAGAAAAAAATCGCGGCTACGATTGAACAAAACGCAGCAGAGCAACGAACTTCTGAAGGTTTGATAGAAACTAAACTTTTTCAGATGTCGGTATAATTAAAATTTCCCCATGCATATCGCCTCATTTTTTCCATACAATTTTGGAAATTGCATGTATCAGAACGCCGCTATTATCTAGGTTACTGACCGAGTTTTTTTTTAATTTGAGATCGTTGCAAACGGTAGACTTCAAATAACTCTTTTGGGCAAAGTTCCATGGGGCAAAACCATGAGAGTCCATTCATCAAATAAGACCGTCTCTGCTAGACGAGGTGGCCACGTAAGTGCACTTAAAATAAGTAAATCGAGGCCCGAGCTGTGAGGATCGAGGCTCTATATATTTAGTAGAAATCTCACATTTCTTAAAGTCGATAATCGGTCCATATTGCGAACAAAAAATTCTCCGACAGCCTATATACCGGCATTTAGCTCATTCACCACGACAGTGCGCTCGTTTTATTGAAAAAAAAAATAAACATCGCAACTGACGAAAGTGTACACCAAACGTTAATATGCTCACAATAAATCGCTTCTTTGGTGAAGTTTTCGTGGATTTTTAGTGCTTCAATAGCGCGCAGGCTCTGTTTGTTGACGCAGCCTGCGATGGAGTCGTTGAACTATTTCAAGTGAAGATTCACACGATGCTTAGTGATCTGTTTCGCTCTCGCAACATATTGCAAAATCTACGAACAGCTTTTAATCTGTGTTTTATCATGGCCTGCCAGCAACAGGTTCTTGACGATGGGATGCTGGTCGCGGCAAGTTTCTTCTCCTCAGTCGCGCAGGTGCTGTCGAGGGGAATACACTTCGTTAGATTCAGTCCTGCGCTTCTCGAGAACTAAAATGTGACAGACGAGTCACGCTTTACAACACTGATTAACTGACCAACAACAATAAATAGATTTGTCTTGTTGATGATGTTGTGAATGTCATAGGAAAATGAGCACAATGATTATTTGATACTGGTTGACATTATACCCCGCTTTTATTGCAGTTAATACTTCATAAGAGAAGAATTTCCGATCGGAAGTGTTAGGGGAAAACTGTAGGGAGTCCCGCTAGGATGTGGCAGTTGTGCGTGTTGGTGACGACGCTGGTGCACTCTGGGGGAGTTGTGGGGCAAGGTAAGCACCTGTTGAAGGCAAAGTCAACATCTGCTTGAACCTTTTGTAGGATGTTGATAGTTTGGGGGCTTAACGTGTTGGTGAAAAGCATATTGATTGTGTTTATGATATAATTAAAGGTTGTAGTAAGGGATGAACTTGTTTAAGTCATGAATAAGTTAATAATTTCATGTTTGGCGACGTTGACTGAAGATACATCCACGCGTTGACATATAAGTAATCACGCTATTAGTCTCAATAAAATATTCTTAACTGCGCTGATGTTTCAAGGTTTGGTGTTCCCCGGGTCATCGGACTCCCCCTCCCTGTCGTGCACCATAACAAGGACGGGGCAGAAGGGGGAGTGTAAGCTGTCCACTCACTGCCCCTCCCACCAGCGAGTGGCAGGCGAGGGGGCCGTCAGTCAAGTGTGCGGCGTCAGCAGCGAACTGCCCTTGGTTTGCTGCCCTATACCTCCCGGTCAGCGACGTTCATATTTCATATTAAAGACTCAATTCTTCCAGATTTTTCGGAAGAGTTAATGAAAGATAACTTATGAAATATTATTATTAGACTTAAGCTTCTAATCTTCTTGAACTTCTTCTTTCTATATATTCTTTGATCCATAAATAGCCGAACTATTAATTTCGTGAATTTATAGGCCGAGGAAGATCTTTGCATGTTGTAGGGCTATGAACTAGGCAGCCTAGAGTGAGAGAATAATAGTTTTTTAGTAAATAGTTCTAAATTAATCTTTAAAATATACTAGTACAATAGTTCGNCTGTCTCTTATACACATCTAGATGTGTATAAGAGACAGATATATATAGCTTCCAGAACTATGTTCTTGGCATTATTCTTAATTATATAGATTCATCCCAATTTGCTAAAATCTATCATCATAATTTTCAGGCATTCACCTCTTGTCAACCGCGTGTGGTGCAGCGGCGGCACTCCAGCAATCTCGACGCTGTCGGGAAGTTTGCCGCTGCTTCGGGGTGCGATTGAGGCGACGCAGCTCGAAACCATTACGATCAATATAATTAACTTCAGTTCGTTGTCGTGCGTTTCTTTCAAACCCCCCATTCGTTTGTGTTTTCATGATGGCGACCATGACAGGACACGAGAGGAGGTTCTATGCGTCCGCGGTTTTCTTACGGATGTGCCATTATTTACTCCTGACGCGGGTTGCCGATATGCGCTTTATTAAACTTCTTAATCCTGTGAATTGCTCAATTGTGTGCTTTTTTGATGATGGTGCTCTGATCGCCTTATCATTCAGTATTGACTATATTTCATAGTGACGAGTCTTTAACTCATTGTGAATTATTATGAGCTTGAACATTTGCCCAGTGCTCTGTAAGATTGCTTATTCCCTAACTCTGTTTAATTAACGGCGTCTTAAATTTCGTATCTTCTCCAGTTCAGCCGGAGGCAAGTGCTAATTTATAACTTTAACTTCTGACAGTCATAATGGATGTGGCATTAATTAAACGTACGCGTACTTACATACGGTCAGAGATAACCAAAACTTTCAACAAGGTTAACGCTAACCTTGATGAGCTTTCAACCATTGAACGCAAAAACATCTTGGTAGATGATTGAAGGAGATTCAAGGTGAAATTAAAGAGTATGACCAAAAAATTTCATGTGACCTCTTTAAATCTAATGTAGCCGACTCTGAAATGGAAAAAGAATTTGAGTGCTGTTCTGAGTACAATCAAAAACTGATCGCCACACGCACCTTGCTTGAATCCGCTGATAGCAATGCCTCCAACTGGACCGAGACTAATTCGCAAGGTAGAGAGGCACCTAGCCGATTGAAATTGCCGCA